CATCCTCTACGGGAAGGTGGTGCAGCTGGAGAAGCCCTTTGCCGTCCTGGTGAAGCGGGGAGCCGGCGAGCCCGGCCCCGAGCCTCATCAAAACCAAGCTCCTCTTCAAAACCCGCCCCCAAGCTCCTCTTCAAAACCCGCCCCAAGCCCATCATCACCAACGTGCCCAAGAAAGTGTGAGGACTCAGGCCGGCGGCCACGAGCTCCGCTCTGCTGCCAGGCAGCCCCGGACGCCACGGCTGGGGCTCGGGGACATCCAGGGCCGGCCCCGGCCTCGTCCCTGCCCCGGCCGCAGGGCTCCGGGGCCACCTCGGGGTGCTGGGTCCTGCGTCTGGGCACCCAGAGCCCTTCCCGCGTCACTTGTCCCTCCCGCCCCGCACCCGTAGTGGCTCCGTTTCTGCCGAGCTCTGGGGCACAAACCCGGCTGCCATCTCGGGCGAGACGGGTCCTGGTGGGCCGGGACCTCCTCCGAGCCTGGGCAGGGCTGTCCTACCCCGGGGGCTGCCCTCAGCGCCCGGCGTCGGCAGTTCCCAGCGCGTTGCCAGCTCTGCCTGCGGCGGGGACCCGCGGTGGTGCCAGCGTGCAGATCGCTCTTCCCCAACACCGTATGCGTGTGTGTCATCGTGTGTGTCTGTGTCCCGTGCCCCCCCCCACACACACACCTCTAAAAGAACCCCTGCAGCTGCGGGGACAGGCAGTGGCCGGGCAGGGTCTCGGCACCAGCTACCCTCGAGTCACCCCCACGGCGTTGGGGCAGGGGGACCGGGGCCACCACCACCACCACCCGCCTCGTCCCCACAACGCCACCCTTCCTCGGTGCAAGTCTTTATTTTGACAAATCCATCAGGATATAAAAACAGACTCTTCCAAAATATGAAAAAAAAACCCGCAGGTTAAAAAATAAATAGATTTACAAACAATTCGCAGTAAGTATGAATACCAAAGAGCTACAAAAGTCTTCTAAAAAACCTCGTATTAAATTAAACAAAACCGTCTAAATGCTCAGTTGTAGAAAGGTTTCTTTTTTTTTTTTTAAGCCCTGGGGGGAAAAAAAAAAAAAAGCATTTATCTACCTACACCACCAAGCCAAATACTAAAAGTAGAAAAACAGGACAACTGGAAACAATCTCTGCAAGTTTCCCATAGCCTGCAGAGGAGATGAAATCTAGATGTAATTTTAAAGGAGAAGATTGTGTTTTCCTTGCACTTTAATTGGCAAGTAATCAAGACCACATTCAATGCAACACAAGTTCTTGCAATCACGCTGTGACAGCAGACCAAGAAACTCTATTAGGAATCCAATGCAATTACAACCCAACAGCAGTCCAGCAAAGGACTAGATATAAAGGGAGGCATGACCCCACATTAGAAAGAAGCTGGTGATGATACGGCTAAGGTGTAGTTCAGACACCACTGAAGTGACACTAACAGAAGCAATCAGAAGGGCTGGCACTGGGACAAGAAAGCTGCCACTGGATACTTATTTCACAGTCCTGAAATGCTGCTATAGCCAGAGTCACTTTCAGATCATCAAATAACTGTTTCCAAAACCATGAATACCCCCCCCTGCACTCAGCAATATCTGAACACAAGCGTGTATCCTTTTCTCTTTGGCCGTCCTGCCACTGTCCACACTGCGAAACAAGACTAGGGTAGCACGGGGCATACAGACAAGATGATAAGTTAAATCCCCTCACGTTCAAATGAATGAAAGAGGAGAATGTTCTGCAAGAAGCATAATCTTGGTGCTACACTATCTCACAACACGTTTCTGGATGAAGCTTTGGGGCTGGCCATGGTCTGTAACTTTAAAGGACAGGCTGCCTGTCTCCAGATGCCCGTGTCGCTGCTGAGACGGGGAGTGACGTACAAAGTCCTTGGCTAGAGAGAAAGAGGAGTAAGTTTTCTCCACAGGAACTATGAACCAAGCGCTCAATCTCTTCCTTGTCTGGTCCGGCTGCCGGGGCGATCAGCTGCAGGAGTGCATTGCGCAGACCAGCTGTTCCAGCTGGCATCTTAAGTAGGTTGAAGGTCTGGGTGTAAGAAAACAAGGAGAGCGTTGGGTGATTCCAGCCTGGTGGGGAAACACGTCCTGCCGCTTGCCGCAGCGCCGGGCGACGATGGCCAGGTAGAGGGTGAGCAGGGCCACCCAGTAGCAGGCGTAGAGGATGGCGCCTGAGACGAGGAAGGCCACCTCGGTCTCGCTGAAGAGGTCCTGGCTGTACGCGGTGTAGGCCAGCCCGCCAAGCAGCACCGCCACCCACACCGACACCGGCAGCAGCCCCACGAAGTTAACCACGATGGTCCGGCGCCCCGACGTGCCCCAGCCCGACTTGTTGATGGTGGCAATGGCGAACACCTTGGCGGGCAGCAGGCTGGACATGTAGAGGAGGGCGTAGAGGGACATGAAGATCATCTCGGCGTTGCCCCGCAGGAAGCAGGCGTAGGTGGCCTTGATGATGCCCACCAGCTGCACCGTCAGCAGGAAGAGGAGGATGTTCCAGATGCGGCCGCGGTAGAAGAGCTGGATGACGGTGGCGATGAGGAAGAAGGGGAAGAAGCCAGTCACCACCGACTCGTAGGTCATCCAGAGGTGGTGCTTGTGGAACCACAGGGCATTGTAGAGCCACTCGCGGAAGTAGGACTTGCTCCAGCGGGTCTGCTGGTTGAGCCAGCGCAGGTAGCGGGTGGGCGTCTCCGTCAGGCACTTGGAGCGAGCCGTGTACTTGGTCTGGTAGCCCAGGCTGAGCACGCGGTTGGTGAGGTGCCGGTCATCCCCGAAGCTGCACTTGCTGCCCAGGAAGGTCTGGTGGTACCAGTCCTCGAGGAACTGCTGCAGCAGGGCGTTGCGGTACATACCCAGGGGCCCGCTGATGCACTGCACGCAGCCGAAGTAGGACTGGCAGGCGCGCTCCACGTTGAAGGCCATCCAGTACCGCACGCTGCTCAGGAAGGAGATCCACGAATCGTACTTGTTCAGGATCTGGGGAGGGGATGGAAGTGAGCCCCGGCACCGCTGCAACCCCCAGCACCGCT